CATCAACGTTACTTTCAGCTAACCATTTCCTTGTAGATCTAGTGGTATGCTTAGGATCATTATCCAGTTAGAAAACCCAATCAGGAGGTAGACGAAGTCTCTCAACAGAACGCATTAAATTGTCTTGCAGGATTTTCTGGTAGCTTTCAGCATTCATCTTGCCATCTATTATTGATAACGTTTCGCAGAAAAACTGCCCCAGATCATGATACCCACCACCAAACTTTTACAGTTGGCAACATGTTCTTTAGTAGTAAGTAGGCTTCCGTCCTTCCTCCACATGATTTCGATAATTATGACCAAACAACTCTATTTTAGTTTCATCTGTCCATAGTGCTTTTTCCCAAAACGAATATTCTTTATCCTTATGCTCTCTAACAAATTTTAGCCTAGCATCTCTGTGTCGTTTCAAGAGGAGTGGAGTCTTCCTTGGGCTGCGTGATTTCAGACTGTTTTTGTGTAGTTCATTACTTATTGTACACTTGGTTACTTTAATCCCTAATGCACGCAGATGTTCCTGCAGCTCTTCTCGGATAACCTGTGGATTTTGTTGGATCTGGTGTCCTAATATCCTTGCTGATCTTAGAGAAATCTTCAGAGCACCTGTTCGTCTCTGGTTTTCGATGCTGTTATGAGTTTTAAACCTTGCAATGAACGAAGCAATTGTAGTAAAATTAATTGATTAATTTATTCTAATAATTGATTTGTACGAATACTTTTTTCACCAGTTAGAATTTAAAAAATGCATTAATTTCTGTTAGAATAAGGATTAATTAAGTTTATTATTATTTTCTAATAGTATGTGTCTTTATACATAAAATGTGCTGATATTTGTTTTATTTAAGGCTTTTTTTACATTTATAGAAATACAATTTTTCAAGTATACAAATATTTATTTCCCCCTCTGTGTGTATATTGTATATATATATATATATATATATATATATATATATAGAGAGAGAGAGAGAGAGAGAGAGAGAGAGACACTAAGGTCATATGCAAATCAGCCTGATGCTTAGTCACACGAGTTTTTTGTGCCCTGTTAGCAAATATTAGAATGAATATATTACACAAATAGAGAGCATACAAAAAGAAAATTTCAAATCTTGTAATAAAATCCAAATTCTAAACAAAAATAAAATAGTTTAGACTCTTTTAGACAATCAGTAGAAATCAAATAACTTACTTTTAATTCATGCCAGAATATTTTCTTCATGAGTTTTTTTTTCTGTTAACAGCATGTCAAATAACTTAAAAGCAAGCTATATCTCTTTCATTTACAATTTTAACTCACTTCAAAATTGATTTTTTTTTCATAAAAAAAACAACTGCATTCCACTTGCTTTTTCCAGTTCCAATTTTGCAAGAATATCAATCATTTATTCTATTTAATGTTTATTTTTCTGGTGAGTCTGTTAACAAATAAATTAAGTTACTTCCCATGGTTTCTATGTACTTGAAATACACCGAAATCAAGGGAAGCAACTTGAATTTTTAATTTTTAAGTTAGCTCCTTTGATGTGTCTTAAGCCAACACTACTTTGGTGGCGTTGCTTAAGCATTCAGCAGAAGGCACGAAACCAATACCACTATGTCGGTGGTGGTGACCAAATTTGGTAGACCATCAACAAACGATTTCGAAACAAAGTTTTGCACTGTAAAGAATACCCAAGTGCTGATAATAGGAAAGATCATTTTTCACTCATTGACTAAGGATAAAATTACAAAAATACTTTGTTCAGTAACCCTCTACTTTGAACAACTTTTTGGGTTTTATATTGGTGAACTATTATTTAAAAATAAAAAAAATTAAAAAAGCACCTATAAGTAAATGAATAAAAAGTGTTATATAATTTCTTTCAAAGTTTTCAATGAAAAATAAATGTTTGATAATTATAAAGAGGTTGCTGGAAAATGTTCTCAGCCTGGTCAACTAGCCCTTCCACACAAAAAGTGGGTCAGGCCAAGTAGTTTCAACACTGCCCCTTCTAAAAATATGGGCAAACAACCAAACTTTGAAAAGTAGATTGGACTAACGATTTTTTTCAGCACTTCCCACATATGTTTTTACGAGATATGGTGCTGGAAAATTCTCAGTAGATTTCACTTTTAAAAATCTGACTGAATGACAAACCAAATATTTTGGAAACTCTTCTGGTTAGGCCCAAAATTTTTCAATACTCTACTTATATGAGTTGAAATTTTAACAAAAAATTTATTTTATATTTTTTATAACTTGATTTGAAAAATTTCCAAGCTTTAAGTAAATCTTCAGGTGACAAGAAAGGCCTAATTTAAACAAACAACACTGAAAACCAAAAATGTCTTACCATAATTTTGGTAACTATAACTTTTTTTTTTTTTAAAAAAAAAAAAATTTAAAACTGATGTCTAAAAAAATATTTAAATAAAAAAAATGATATTATGACTATTCTGCTTATAACAAGAGCCATCTTCAAAATATAGTGGCTACCATTTTTTGGAAAGATAGGTTACATTCTTCCCAAAATTAGATCTTCTGATTCGCACTACACTAATTTTCATCACTAGCTGGATGTGAACACTCTGAATGCCAAAAACTCAACTAAAACTCGTCAGCTGCACAAGGCTCTGCACATATCTTCCATTTATCCAAACACTCAAAGGAAAAAAAAAAAAAAGCAATACCATCCATAATTTCTACCCAATGACACCCACTCCCACCTAAAGAAACAAAATGAAAACTGGAGCTGATTTGAGCCTCAAAAAGGACATAAATCCCTATTAAAGGGACATTTGGCAGTTGGATGACATCTTGAACAAAGTTCACATGCTTGTCAAAAGTGACCTCCCATTTCCAAAGACATCCAACTCAACCATTTACAAATATCAAACGCTGTTGGCCAAGTAATCACAACTTATCCTCCACCACCTTCAATATGCTTCACCATATACCTTTATGTTTACAGCTCCACTTATTATACGAGAGACACCTACCCTGATTTTTCATTTATTGCATTTTATGTTAATACAATTGTTTATATTACTTTATTTTTCATCGTTTCTTCTTCATTCTGCCACTATCCAATTAGTAACATGAAAAGACACATTAATATTACAACAGATATAAATCTTCTTGAATATGTTTTCTGGAATTTTTCCCAATTTATACAGCTTTAAAATCTGATTTAGAGCCAAGAAAAAGAACAGTTTTAAAGAATTCTTTTTTTTTTTTCCATTTATTATCACACTGTTATAATAATTCTTAACATGGTTCTGGGTAAAATATTACTCAAAACAAGAAAAGATATAAAATTTCTAATGGTTAAAAAGATTTGAATGCCATTGCATTGCAATCAAAATATCATGGGAAATTAGCTCAAAAACAGTTAAACCCACACCAATATACTTTTTGAAAAAAATTATTTGCTGAAAATGAAAATGGACATGTTTTTGTTTTTTTTTAAATTATTATAAAGATTGTACTAACCAAGACATTAGTCATAATAAAAATCATTGTAATTAGTCATGTTTTGATCACATTTTATTCATATATGGAGTGTGGCTAATAAAGTTTTATTGAGAGAGAAAATTAAAAGTCACTTAAAATTTTGGAATGCATCTATACAAAATGGCCAGGTTAATAATCGTCAATAATGCCAACTAAGACATTCTACATATATTTTCTTTATATAATAACACCAACAAAAATGTTCGCTAAAAACATCAAACATGCATTAGTCACCACAAAAAACACTACAAATACATGAAAAGCAGACTGTGTGAATAGATGACCATTAATTGGGTTAATAAATAAATTCAGAAGATCATTTTCAGCATTATGTTTTAAACAATAGCATATAGTTAAAAGTCTTTAACCATGAACAACTGCATTTTCATGCAAAATATGCAAAACCTCTGGCCCATCTTATAGTCGCCAGGCAGATTCTCAAAAATGAATAAAATTGAAAAAAACAAATTGCCTAAAACATCATTAGTGGCATGAATTCTTAAAAAAGAAAAAAATAAATAAATAAAAAAACAAAGGTAGTCAATAGATTTTATTTGACCTCTGTACGTGCGACCTTTAATATAACTTCTGCACAAACCCTATTCTACCATTCATTTGCTCAAGCTCATCAAATATGTTATGCACTGGTTTCCTCTGTCCCTCAATCTTTGTGATATAATGGCCATTCTAACTGAAGGCACAAGGCATATGAGGGATGGATTAAAATCAAATTAGCAAATCAGACAATGGAAAGCAAGAAGACAATTATTTCTAAAAATAGAGATTTTCTCTATATATAAAATATCAAATGACCTCTGGTGTAATTGGTTAGGTTTTATCTATATATTTACCACCACTTCTTTTCTAACAAAGGACAAACAATTCCATATTCTAGTTTACCACAGTCTATGTTTGCATTAAATCAATGGTTGAACAAGCAGATGGATAGGGCTACGCATGATGGACATGCTCCAGAAGGTATCACTCAAAATTATAATAGTCTGTTGCAGTTTTATAACTGGATTCTACATGTCTCATTCCATATGTGCCACAGAGGAAGATCATGAAATCAACTGTGTGGGTCACATCCTGTCAAGTTGAAGTCCACCTTAAACAAATTCACACCATTGGCACTTTTTTATTTTGATTTTCTTTTACCTGCAACCAACTTTTGCAAAGTCAAACAGCGATAGAGAATGGATGACAGGATCAAGTCTTGGAGAAACTAGAAGCTTCTAGTCCTGAAGCTGCACATTGGTGGCAAATTTAGTCATCAACATCATCATCATAAAAGAAGTGATCAACAAAGAAGAATTTAATTTAATTCTTGGATACGATATAAAGCCATCAGCAATGTTAAAGGAAAACAATCTCAAGAAACATCAAGTCTACTGTTAAGGAATTCTACAATAATTAGTATACCACAAGAAAATATCAGAACATAAAGGGCATCTATTTTGTGCTCATATGCATATTTCTACATTATTGAAAGATTTCAATTAAAACTTACCTGATGGGCATAAGCAAGGTTTTTACCAAATTCAAATGCACATTCCTGGATGTGTCTGTTGTGTCCTGCAAGAATTGCAGCTGCTTGACAACTGTGAGCAAGAAGGCTACCAAAAGATAAGTATGTGTATTGACACCAATCACTAAACGTGACAGTTTCTTTCAGCTGGGGATGTCCATCAACATCCAAGAAGTCTGTGAATTCTGATTCCATCATCTCTTTAATGGAAATGGATATCATGTCAACAACCTGCAGGAAAAAAAAAATCAATTAAATTTTGGTAAAATTTTAACTAAACTGAAAGGGTAAGGCTTACAGCCATATTACATTGAAACAGCCGTTCCTGTACAATAACCAAAGTTAAGCAATGTCAAGCCTGGTCAGTACCTAGGTGGGTGACTACTTGGAAATACTGGGTGATGTAAGCTTGGGTAGACAGGTGGTGTAATGGATAATGGCTCAAAATTGCAAATCAGAAAGCCGAGTTCCAATTCCAGTTGGGCTCGTTATATTCACTTATATGCAAATACCCTTCAGAAAAGTATGAATCCACCTATTCTCTGACCAGCTATGGGTTAATTTTCATGGCAATTGTTCTGATAAGCCTTCCTCCTTGGTACCTCAACTGCATGAATTTAAGCATAATACTAGATTGGCAACTAGGTCTCACCATTTTACTGTTGAACTAGCTACATGTAACCATAAATTTTATTCTAATAGTTTCTTTTTTTTACCTATGGAAATCTCTTACAGTTTCTCACTTCCCTGTCACCTACAATCTTCAAAAGTTTTAATGTCTTTCTGAATTCTGTTCTTTTATTGTCCTCACTAGTCTTCTCATTCTCTTTCACTCCAAGTAACTCCTTGCATCTTAGTGACATTATTGCCTTGCTTGGGGTGAAATGACTAAAAAAAAAAAAATAAAAAAGTCCTTCCAGATAGGTAAGCCATGAAAGTTACTATTAATGGCAAGTCCTCTGAGACCCAGGAGATTAATGCAGGCATCCCTATAGACTTGCTTCTTGGTCCTACCCTCTTTCTGTTTTACATTGATGATTTACCTAAGAGCATACTTTGGTCTTTAGCAAATATTGCAGATGATACAACCAGTATATCAGTGCACCTCCAAAAATCTAGATGACCATAGCTTGTCAGTTGATCTTTCCTCTGACCCTAGCTCTAACAGCTCAATAGGGGGAATAACTGACTGATCACATTCAATAGATTAAAAAATAAAAAAAAAACCCTGATAATGTTCCATCATCACTGAGCAGACCAACCCTGAATTCTTTTTACTATCACAATGTGTTGTAAGGGAAAATATTTCCCTACAAGTTTGGACTTGGCCGTAAGATGAAAGACATAAAAATACACCTACATCAAGAGGAGTAGCAATAGCGTTTGCTGAAAACAGTTTGTCATTCACAGCTAAACATTTTCTTCCCTAGTTTCTATTCTACATTATGTCCCCCTGTACCAAAAGGTAATAAACTTGTTAAATCAATTCCAGTTTTCTACTGTTTTTGATAACTCAATTACAACAAAAATAGATTTTCTCTCAAGGAAACCTCTCATCCCAGACCAAGTGGAACATATATATACAATCCATCACTGAAGATGCTTTAAAAATGTTCAGATCACTGTATCATTCCAGTAAATATCAAACTCCTCCTGATATGCTCTACCTTTACAAGAGCCAGATCAGAGCAAAAATGTAGTATTGCTGCCCTGTTTTCACTTTCCAGTCTTGATAAAAGTTCAAAAGTGTCTACACAGGTGATGAATTGTTTCCCAACTTACAACCCATTTACCATAAACAAATTGTTGCAAGCCTCTCGCTACTCTAGCGCTATTTCCATGGCAAATAGCCTGACAAGCTATATTCCTTAGTTTCACCAACTCTATCCCTCACAGCTTTAAGATTCACCATGCCACATATGCTGAAGTGAACCATCCTTATTCCCTTTATATTCCATTAGTAAAAAAGAAGTTCCACTCAAACAGTTTCTTCTCATGAACTTCTACTTTGGAGAACAAACTCCCAAGAAGATTTTTTTTTTTTACCACTACAGTTATCTTTCCAATATATTGTTATAAACCTCATACTGCTCATACAATAACCTCCTTCAGTAAATTTCTACCTTGATTGCCTCTTGAACCTTGTATAGAGTGAACATTAGTAAAAAGAAAAAAAAACTACTACAAATGCTATTGATGAGTGGAAGCAAACTGGTCACATGTGGTTATTTTCACTTCATCAGATTGTGATCTCTGATAATGTCTATCATATACAACAACTGGAAGAATGTATATTATAAGACATTTTTAATGTGGATTGGTACTCCTGTTGATTTTACTTTCCAAAAGGAACCTACCCAAGGTTTATTCCATGTTTTACTGCAACTTCTTAGTCATTCTTGTAAAAAAGCTTGTGACTAAGATATACAAAATCAGTCAATTTTTGTACCATTTATTTGGATGTTAAATTGTGGCTGTTCTCTGTATATCATCTTTAAAACTGTCTTTTTGGTGCTATTCGTCAGGGTCATATCTTCTGCATGTGAGATATTTGACATTATTTGATTCCCAAAAGAGAAATTGCTATCACTACACTCCTTTTATGTTTTGAACATTAAAGCTCATAATGCAACCCAAAAATAGTGTCACCTTGTTTAACAGCCTTTTTTATTGAAATGAAACTGCTAACATCAAGATCAATTTTTATAGCAGCCCAAGAACCATCATATGCAAATTGTAGAAGATTTAAGTAATTTTTGTTGATAGGAATCGTATTGAGTATTGACCCAATTTCATACAGCTTACTGATGTCAAATCTTTGGAGTAAAGATTAATCTGGAATAACTAATAATCTGGAATTCAAAAGTGTTTTAGTTTTCTATTTACAGTCAATATTCAATTATTTAATTAGTTCAGTAATGGTAATATTAGCCGTATCCTTCTAAGGAAACATTTGGCATTCATTAACCAAGCAGCCAGTGCTACTTTCAGTTGAAATTTATAAAATATCTTAAAAAATTTTCAGGTAAATACTTTCTCAAATTCAGTAGCATTTATCCATCTTTCGAGTATTAATGAGCCTTCTTAACCTTTTATTTAAAGTAGTGGGGAACATCAACATCTTATGTCATAAGTTTCCCTTTGAGTTACATGTGATATCCATTTTAATTGTGCAGTTGAAAAAGTCCTTAAGTGATATGGTTTCTGCTATTTGGTAAAGTTCTTTGTGATTCTGTAACATCAGTCCACAAGGTTAAAAAAGGATGTAATTTGGAATGATCAGTGCCAATCTCTTCACATCTGTGCTTGAGTATGCAATGGATATATATGTCTATATTTCTGAGATGTGGTATTATGTACACTATTTAGATTATTCAGACTATTGTCCTCATCTTTGTTGCCATATTTATCAACATTTCAGCCATTGTATGCTCCAGCCTTCTTCAGGTGGTTGGAATGTCGAACTGGACCTTTTATTTCACTCACTGGGGTAGACTGTTCTAGTTCCACATGCCATGTCTAATGGATGTCAGTTATCTCCTGTTAATTCCCCTCTCCAAGTTCTCCACCGCCTTAACCAGGTATTGAAGTCACACTCTTTGGGTCCTGTCACTGGATCTAACTAACACCTTTATCCAGTTGTCCTGTCACAAGATCTAACTAACACCTTTATCCATGTAAACGTTGTGATAAATATAGCAACAAGGATGACGACAATAGTCCAAATAGTGCAATGGATATAGTTTAGGAAAAGATTAAATAGACTGGAGCTCTCATTTTCTCCTTAAGCAATGGTAAATGTACCTGAAAAAGAGAAACTCAACAAAGCCATAACTATTTGACTTTCAATTCCAAGTGAAAGAATAATAAAAAAAAAATTAAAATTATAATTATCACTCAAACATGGAAATTTTGAAAGACTTTAAAAAAAAAAAAATTAAAAGGCAGAAAAAGGAATGCTAGAAAGGAAGAGAGGTAGAAAAGACAAAGATGTTGAGAGAGAGCATAGGAGAGATAGAAATAGAAAGATAAGAGATGAGAGAGAAAGAGAAATAGAGAGAAAGAGAAAGAGAGAGAAATAGAGAGAAAGAGAGAGAAATAGAGAGAAAGAGAGTGAAAGAGAAAGAGAAAAGAGAGAGAAATACAGAGAAAGAAATAGAGAGAAATAGAGAGAAATAGAGAGAGAAATAGATAAAGAGAAAGAGATATATATATATATATATATATATATATATATATAGAGATATAGAGAGAGAGAGATATAGAGAGAGAGAGAAAGAGAGAGAGATATAGAGAGAGAGATATAGAGAGAGAGATATAGAGAGAGAGAAAGAAAAATCTCTCCCCAAAAGAAAGTTTGCAAAATAACTGATTCTCTTACTTTTGTATTTCTCAGCTCTGCCAATGCTGTACATGCATTGGCTAAGAGGAAATCACCAATCAATATGGCTATTTTATTCCCAAAATGAAGTTCATCTCTTTCTGTTTTGTCAATATCCTTCATGCGGCTCAGATTAATGACACCTTTGTGGATGAGCTTAGCTGTGTGGATCATCTCGGTAATTTCAGCCAAAGTGCGTTGACTATGAAATAAAAATAAATGAAAGACATGAAGAAGTCATTTCATGAAAAACAAAAGACAACATTCTAAGGCAAGAATGAATAGAAAATTCATTTGTTCATATTCTTAGACTTTTTCAGAAGTGTATAGAGTATAATCACGTGGCAATAAATTTCAAAGTAAACAAGAAAAACAAAAATTACCCACATCTCTTTTTACAAACTACTCCCCCCCAACATCAAGAAAAATTAGAACAGCTTGTCTTGATAGTACTGAACCATAGAAATTAATATGCCACAGTTTGTGTGAGTGTGTGTCTACATTTTCATATCACAGTCAAATGGAAAGTCTCAAAAATTGCTCCTGCAGGAAAAAAGAGTTGCCTCCACTTAGTTTATATAAGAACAAATAGAGAGCTTAATTGATTGATGCTTGACACTGACCAAGTGGCTTACAGCCATATCACATTGAAACACCAGTTCCCATATGATCAACAAAGTTAAGCTATGTTGAACTTAGTCAGTACCTAGATGGGTGACTGCTTGGAAATACCAGTTGTAAATTTGTGTGTGCAGATGGTGCCATGTCTAATTGCTTGGAACTCTTAATCAAAGAGCTGAATTCCAATTACAGTTGGGTTCTTTATATTTACTAATGCACAAATACCCTTTGGAAAGGTATGAATCCACCTCTTCTCCCTCCAGCTATGGGTTAATTAGTAAAACTTGTGTCTCTAAACCAATATTATTTCCAAAAATAAAATAAAATTGTGTACAAAATATTTAGATTTCAGCATTAAATAACCCATAGAGGTGTTGATGTGCCGCAAAATAAAAACCAACCAAGTATGTATTTTAAGTGACATTTACCACATAAATAAGCTTATAATGTAGCTGTCTTACAAACTAATGAAAACATAAGACTAAATCTCTTAACCATAACATTATTGTCAGGTACCATCAGCAAATGGGTGTGTGGCTTTGAGACTTTTTTCCAAACATGGATTCTACATTCTCTCAAATATGTAAGAAACTATCCTTCTCTCTCAGGTGAGTGCTAATTTATCTACTATCATCCAGTTTATCCCATGTGTGTGCATTCTAGGTGCAGCTTGGTCAACCACATGTTGACAGGCTCTTACATCTAATAAAAGGTACAGATCTGCACCTGACAGACCCACTGATACACCTGTCTTCTCTGGGTGCAAAGTCTATTTTGGTAACATCTGGAATGCATTGCATACAACAGGGTGGTCCGAAAGTCTTGTCACCACCTACATAATACAATTTTCTGCTTCAATGCTCTGTGAGGTATTATCAAGAAGAGAGTTTCACATGAACAACACTAAAATACCCATCAGTTGAAGGACACCATTCAGAGAGCCTTTACAACAATCAACAAAGCACAGCTTCGTAAAATATCACACAGAAAATGGCAACCTTCTCAATGTATGACAGTGTCAATGAAAGTGAATAAACTGATTCCAGTACATGTGCTTTATATTACCGTATTACTTGTTCTTCTATTGTTCTCATTACTTATTTTTGGAAGGGGTGACAAGACTTTCAGACCACCCTGTACAACATTTTTTTATCTTCTACCAAACCAGGTGTTATTATGGGAAATTACCACAACATGCTAGCCACAGAATGCAGTGAGAGCCTGGAATCTTATTTACCTGGGGGAGATGCCAGCAATCATGGTGTCAGTGGTGCTTGAATTTTTTGCTGGTCCAGCAGCTTTGGCAATGAGCAGAACAATCAAACCACGTGTTTGCAGATTGTGTTTGCTGTCATAAAGCAATCCCCTGCATTATGAAAAGGAAAAGAAAAAAAAATTTACATCAGTTATTATTGATTTAAAAATAAAACTTAAAAATCTCCTGTCTTCAATTTACTTATTTTGATACTTATTGTAGACATATATAACTAACTGGAGTATAAATTATTCTTTCTCCTTCAAACAATGCAACTGTCAAAAGGAACTGAAATGGTTATTATTTAACAGAAAGGGAAAGAAAATGATTTAATTCAAAACAAAAAGACAAATCAACCATAGTAATCAAGGTAATCCCAAACACTTCACCACGGAGGCAATTTTAAAGATGTTAGCAGAACAACTTAAAAAAAAATATGTGGGATTATTTCTGGTCTGTGCAAAATCAATTTAGTTAATAATAGCATGGAAAAATGGTACAAGTTGAAAAATAGGAAAAAATAAGTTTATTTAAATATATACTACTAGTAGTAGAGCCCGGGAATGTAACAGTAAGAGATAGATCAAGTATCGACCATCATAAAGACTGAAAAATAAAATTGATGAAGATTATTGTTTAAGGTTGATGGACACGCATGTCTTAGTTTTTTTTTTTTTTTTACGAATTGGTCAAACTCAAACAAAAACATTGTTTTCAATCGTTATGAGTCTACCGATTGAATAGAACTTTATTGTGAATTAAATAACTGACTCCAACAAGACTTGTGTGTGGAGAGAGAGAATTTATTTAGCGACCTTCCAACACCACGTGGTGGTAACCAACTGTCCCTAACCCTGTGTTTCCGCCTCAATCGTACCTCACTCATGGAGAAGGTACAAGGGAAACAACTTCACGTTGATTAACAATTCTTCCCCTTTTTTTCTTTTCTTTCTTCTTTCAGATGAACATCTGAAAAAGATTAAAAATTTTGAATTTATTAAACAGATGATTCCTTGGGCTCTGATATAAAGCCAAGGATTTTTAAATGATGGTACTCCTTTCTTTGTCAAGGAGTCTGCAACTTGTTCATCAGTTGGTATCCAAGAGAACTCTGCAATTTCCTTTCTGTCCAACATTTCTCTCAAAATGGCCATCTCAATCTGAAGTCTCTTATCCAAAATCTGTGTTGATGAATGTACTGAGTCATAGAGACAAGAATTGTCAGTTTTGCATATGATCTTAATGTTCTCAGTTTCATCTTTTAGTTGCAGTAATTCCAATAATAGTTTTCTGTAAAACAGGCAGGCTTTTGACATATCAACCATGGCTAGAGTTTCAGCAGCCAGTGTACTTTTGACCACCCTTCTAATGCGTTTGGATTGCCATGCAATGGGCATGTATTTATTATTTCCTACCAAAAAGAGTATATAGCCTCCTTGTGACCCTCCATCTGTCAAATTAGCAAAAGAAGCATCACTATATGCAACAATTTTTAAATGCTTAAGGTTTCCTAAGTCAGGGATGTCTATCTGTGATTTTTCCTTTTTTGCTTTCTTAACTACTCTATTGGCTTGTTTTATACATTCTACATTTTGTTGTTTTAGAATGGAGCTTAATGCACTAACATCATAATTTAGATCAGGTCTGGTTTGGGTGGCCAGCCAGTTAAGTTGACCAATAACTTGCCTGATTTCAGTAATTTCTGTTGTGGAAATTGTGTCTTTAAGGTTCCTGCCTGCTTCTACCAAATATATTTTAATTTCTTTTACATACTCATTTTGTCCAAGTTTGATATTCTCATTATTCTTTTTATATCTAATCCTATGTATTGGAACTCAGCAGTTTCTTCGGTTTTAACTGCAAATACATGACAAAGCCTGTCTATAACTCTGCTTTGAACCTGCAAAGCAAAAATCATCAACATGAGCAGCAATTATACCTTGCAGTTTGTTTCCAAAATGCCATGTAAATATTGCTTGATCATATTTTGAAGCTATTGCTCCTGACTTCATTAATTCTTCCTTGAATGTTAAGTACCAGGACCTAGAAGCATCAGTCAAGCCATACACACATTTTGAGAGTTTCCAGATATGGCCCTGAGGTACATTGGCTTCTTTAGGAGGATCCAGATAAACCAGTTGATCCAACTGCTTGCTCTGCAAGAATGCGGTCTTTATGTCCATTGATTTACACATCCACTGGTTAGCTGCCATTATTGCCAGTGCTATGCGTAAACCTTCTTTAGAGCATGTGGGAGAATCATTCCTTGTGTTGTTAGTGTCTCTATCCTGGAAGCCTCTTGCCACAAGTCTGGCTTTATAGGTTTGCTTGCCATTGGAATTTTTATTTGTGTAAATCCATCTTGTGAAAATTTTTGGTTGACCTTGGTCAGGTACTTGGGTGTACACTTTATTTTCAACCCAGCTTTTGAGCTCTTTCTTTCTTGCCTCTTCCAGTTCCAGGTCATCATTAGGGGGAAATCATTATATTTTCCCCGTCACAAAAAAATTCATCAAATGTGTTCATGTTCAGTTTCCTCAACCTCACTTGTTTGCCACTCTGATACCCCATGCTCAAAGTCCAGCCAAAAAGGTTCATCCTGTTCCATAACCACATTCATCAAATGCTTGTTTTGCCTGTTGCTTTACCTGCCCTACTTATGACATTTAATTTTTTTATTCTGGATCTGTGTCATTGGCAAGCTTGCATTTAATAGTTTGTCCTGGTTTAGGAAGCTCAATTTTCTTTGGAGTAAAGTCCTGCTTATGTGGTCTATCTCTTGTTTCTACAGTCTGATGTTGCTTCGACATTGTTGTTTGTGGTTCCCAAATCTTCATTCATATCAAACTCTTCAGAAATTGGTACTTCTGGAGATTCTTCAGAGCCTTTTCTCTGAGGCACTAGGTTCCTTGATGCTGTCCTTGGAAGAGATTCAATATGTCTCCGGGTAGGGTGTTAAGCGAGATGGATGTACCCTTACATATGTGCCACCATGTTTGACAAGCACCTGCTTATGTTCCCCACCCTATAACAGTTCCTGGACCAAGCCATCTATCACACAGGTTTTCTTTTATAAAGGATGGCATCACCATTTTTTTTTAAAATAGGCTTGTACTATACCTGTTCTAACTTGGTGACGAAGTGCACGTCTTAGTTTCTCCGAGGACTCACATGCTATGAATTGTTTCCTGGCAGCATGCATAGCATTTAGGTTATCTGCAACAACTTCACTGGTGGAAACACCTTCTAATGCAGGAAGTTTGTCATTTAGAAAGGCAGGTAGGTTGGGATTTTTTAACCAAAAACAAGTTGATTTATAAAGGACTGTATCCGTGAACACTGTGAAGTGTGTTTTTTTGGCACTTATGGCACATGCAAGTGCTACCTCAAAACTACAGTTGGTATCTTCTATGGTTTTTTCTTTACCATTTCTCCCAATATCCTATTGTGTCTTTCATTTAACCCATTGCTCCAAGGACTTTCAGCAGCAGTGGTACGTACCACAATGTTTAAATTTTGTGCCATATCTCTAAATGACTGGTTATTAAACTCTCTGCCATTGTCAGTGAGGATAAATCCCGGGGTTCCAAAATATGCAACCCAGTGCTTGAAGATGGCATTAATGATGTCAGAACTTTCCTTACTAGGAATCCTGACTCCAACACTGTATCTTGTACCATGGTCAATTAGGTGTAGTACCTTGTTGCCGTTAATTTCTTTGATGTCCATGGCAATGCTCTCATTGAAATAGGTTCCTAATGAGAATCCAACAATGGGTCTAGGTTCAGCCCTTTTGTACCTCATGCAAATTTCTCATGAATTAGGAAGTTCTTGTAAAATTTTAATAAATTCAGAATCTCTCATTCCAGCATTTCTCACTAAATCACATAGCTTTTTGCTGCTGGGGTGACTGAATTGTCTATGCAACTTTGTGGCAATTTTAATTTTCTCTAGTCTATTTTTACTAGCAATTTCTTTAATAAATAAAATTTGCTTGAACTTACCTTGGCCTGGTAGAGGTCTGCTAATAGGGATGTGGTAGTGACCAGACAAAGTACACTGCATTGGGACTTGTCTCCCCAGCATGGTGACAGTATTGTTCTCAAAATTGAGGCATGTTCTGGCTCTCTTCATGTAATTTTTGCTTAACAGAAGTGGTATGTCAGAGTCCACAACATCAGTTACGATACTAACTTCAACACCGGCAATGACACACGGTAGAGTGACTGTGTAGATGGATTTGAGTTTGTTTCCATCACCAAACTTATATGTTCTCACTCCGTCTCGAATTTTTATATATTTTTTTTTGTTTTTCTGGTATGGTTTCAAGAAAACACTCGTACCATTTCTTTCCACAAACAGTCCCAGAGGCACCAGAATCCAAGACGGCCGAGCCTAGTGTTTCACCCAAAAACATGTTAGCGCCATCTTCCCCTTTTTGCTGACTCATCAGCATGAGGTTGGAGACGAGTATGTTTTCATTGTCTTCCTTTTTATGCGAAGTATCTTCTGTGTATGGACATTCGCAAGCCCAATGGAATTTGCATCCACATGTGAAACATTAGGGTGGCATTTCCTTCAGGTCCTAGTGGGTTTAGATTTTTATCAGTGGAGCGTGTTGAATTTCTGTTACACCCCTCCTGCCATTACCTTGCCAACCAGAAAAGCGAGTAGTAGTTCTATTTGAACGATTGTAAAATGTCCCACTAGATTGCTCCTCCTGATTATCCATGCTGAAGGCAACATCCATTTCATTTTTCACCACGACTGGAGGAGTGGTGGGTGATGAAGCGTCGCAATATTGTCAATGCAGAATCTTCTTCAATTGTTTAGACATTTTGTTAAGACTAAGTTCCTTAACCGTGGCTTTCACCAGCCATTCATTCTCTGGGGTGAGATTTGCACTTTTTAATGCCCTATACGCGAGAACCGGTTCGGGCAGCGATATTTTGTTCCTTTAATTTTGCAATGTTACGATCGAAGCAGATAAGAAAATCATCAATTGAATCAGTGCTCTGTCGTGTGTATCACTCAAAGGATTCATACGCTGTAAAAGCCGCTTGGTTTGCATCTTCCAAGAAAAGTGTGTCCAGTTTTTGGTATAACTTTTCCATGCCATCATCGGCATTTAGGGTGGCAATGTCCAATTCTAGTACAGCTTCCCTGGCCTTTCCTTCCAAGGATAGAAGTACCACTGGGGCACGTCTATGTATCTCTAAGCTGGTGGCAAGTTCCCACACTTGCATTTCTTTTTTCCAAGTATTGTACTTGTCCGTGTTTAAGGCAGGTGGGGAAATAAACTTCGAAGCCATTTTTTACGATCTAAATGCTCTGCTACCAATGTGAATTAAATAACTGACTCCAACAAGACTTGTGTGTGGAGAGAGAGAATTTATTTAGCGACCTTCCAACACCAACTGTCCCTAACCCTGTGTTTCCACCTCAATCGTACCTTACTCATGGAGAAGGTACAAGGGGAACAACATCACATTGATTAACATTTATTATAAACAATTGTCTCGTCAATGGAATTTTTAAAGCATTCTGAATGCAAAAATAAAGAAAAAAGTGTGCAAGACAATAAGAAACACTACCTGCCAAAAAAAAAAGTGAAGTTTTTTTTAAATCAGTTGAAAAATGTAGGAAATCCGATCCCATATATAAACGAACACACACACACACACAAACAACCTGGGTTTCATAAGTATAACTCGATATGAGTTGTCCCTCTTCCATTCTCGCGATGCCTCTTAATTGTGTTTTTAAATTGATTTTGTGCAAAAACAATTGTGTTTTTCCAATTTGTGGCGCTGTCAGAACCACCGCAAGGTAATTTTAACAGTCCTGTGAAGTTTTGTTGAAATCGGTTGAAAAATGTAGGAAATCTGATCCAATATATAAACGTACAGACACACACACACAAACACAATCTGGGTTTTATAATAAGTATGATTAGCCAAAAAGTTGGTTTTGAATGAAGAATTTTATATATATATATATATATATATATATATATATATATATATATATATATATATATATCTTTATTTCGTTATTTTTTAATATTAACAAAAAAAAAAAAAAAGAGAAAAAGTAGAATCTTCTATTTTCTTTTATTACTTGATATGACTTCTATGATGGGGTTGTGATAGAGCCTCTGAGATCAATAGTGTGTACTTGAGGATTCCTGGACAACTGAATCAGAAGTAAATAAACAGACAGCTGTCCTCTGATTTATAATTAAACTGCTATTTGTGTTTAATTTATGTTGTTTCAAGTTTGTCCGTTTTTCACTTGCGTCATTTTTACTGTTCACTGCAAGAAATAATACCCAAACTACTTCTTGTACAATGCCAAATGCAAAGCCTATAAAATCCACAGAAGAAAAATACAAAACTCCACAAATAATAATCCCAACAACAATTAACAAAAGCAGGTACATAAATCCTACCTACCAACTTCATAAAAAAGCCACCATCAAAAATAAATTATCCAACCTTAAACTAAAATTCATCAACACCACCTGTAAAACAATAGGAGATATGGTTAGCATCAAACAAGATAGCAAAAACAGGACAGATGCAGAAATATAAAGGATAGATTGAACAAAATCCCCAATGATGTTCATCAACAAAACCTCCAGAAATCCAAAGAAAAGACTATATGAGTATCACAGAGATATGCTTCATAACACTTTAGAAACACTGATAGTTCACCAGAATAAAATTGAGCACAATTTCAACTTAATAAATGCCATTCTGATCAGAATTCACTTTGATACAGCAAGAGGAAGAGGCCAAGTAAAGGAAAGAGAGAAGAACTCTGTGTGTGTGTGTGTGTGTGTGTGTGTGTGTGTGTGTGTGTGTGTGATTTCTTGGACATTCAGACGGGTAAATGTTAATACGGTTTATTATAAACAAGCCATTTCCTTAAATAATTATATCCTAGAAAAATAACACATATATATATATATATATATATATATATACACACGTGTGGGGGGATAGCCATTGAAAATATATTTCAATTGAGCACTGTTGAGTGATAAGCTTATTCTATAGACAACAGCCACCTGTGTTAATGCAAAGCTCTTCAGTAAAATGAATTGGAGCACTCCGGCTGATTGGCATTTGTTTTCATTTGTAAAAACAATACGCTAGATTTAGTTTTTTCTCTCTGTCGAATAAAGATAGCTCAGTGGTAGAAACTCTGATTGATTGGTTGGGTTTTGATCCAGGCTTGAAGTATTCGGATGTCCAGTCACACTGAGGAGCTGTGATACAGTGAAACAGTACTGTCTGTGAATGACACACATATATTTATATATATATATATATATTTAAGCAGCATATTTTCATTCAAACAGGAGTGGTTAAATAATTTAAACATATCATGTCAATTAGTTTTCAGTGTGATCCTTTCGAGTTCATGGATTATTTTTTTAGTAGCCATAGAAAATTGATTAAGAAAAATACTAAAGTTTTCTTTCAAATAGTTTTTATTTTCCCCAACTACTTTCAATCTCATCTGAGACCATCTTCAGAGGGTTAAGTTGTCTGAGTATGTATATGTACTTTTGTAAATTCAAAACATTTCAACTGTTCAGTAAAAACAGTAAAAATGAATGAATTTTCAGTAGTTATTCGTTAACAAAAGAATTACAAACTGAATTGGTTATTTTTTTTTTTTTTTTAGAAAACTTTGTGGAAATATTTTTTTGGGAGGGTGGGGGTATTTCATGTGTACTTTTAAATTTGGGTGTGTGCATGAGATTTTTTTGTTACATAAAGAAAAATCCCTAAATATATCATTTCAGTAAAAGATTTATACAGTAGCAGTAGAGCCCGGCGTTGCCCGGGGATGTAACAGTAAGAGATAGATCAAGTATCGACCATCATAAAGACTGAAAAATAAAATTGACAAAGATTATTGTTTAAGGTTGATGGACATGCATGTCTTAATTAGTTTTTGTTCTTTTTTTACGAATTGATCAAACCCAAACTCAAACAAAAACATTGTTTTCAATCGTTATGAGTCTACAGATTGAATAGAATTTTATTATAAACAATAGTCTTGTAAATGGAATTTTTAAAGCATATTATAAACAATTGTCTTGTAAATGGAATTTTTAAAGCATTCTGAATGTAAAAATAAAGAAAAAAGTGTGCAAGACAATAAGAAACACTACCTGCCAAAGAAAAAAAAAAAAAAAAAATTTTTTTGTTGAAATCGGTTGAAAAATGTAGGAAATCCAATCCCATATATAAACACACACACACACAACACAAACAACCTGGGTTTTATAATAAGTATAACTCGATATGAGTTGTCCCCCTTTCATTAATGCCTCTTAATCGTGTGTTCAAATTGATTTTGTGCAAAAACAATTGTGTTTTTCCAATTTTTGGCACTGTCAGAACCACCGCAAGGTAATTTTACATAGTCCTGTGAAGTTTTGTTGAAATCGGTTGAAAAATGTAGGAAATCCGATCCAATATATAAACGTACAGACACACACACACACACACAATCTGCGTTTTATAATAAGTAAGATCAAGTGTGAACATGCAGAAAATTCATCATTGCCAAAATAAACTAAAAAAATAAATTTTTCCAAGAGTTGGTGCTTGTATAATATAATAAAACGTTATTTTCTTTTAGATTGGGCAGAAAAATACCTACACTTAATCGTATTTTTAAAATAATTACTTGTAATTTTTCAGTGCAATTTGGAATTTCATCACGTTGTTGTTTGTAAGAAGATTTTTTTTTGCTTTTTTTTAATTAAATAAAGACATATTTGAAGAATCAAAAAATATAAAGTTTAATTTAAAGTTTGTTTGTTTTTATTTTAGCAACTGTTAGATTATTTTTTGTATAGATGCTCAAAGGAAATAATTCTGCATTATCACCTATAACTACTTTTCACTATCAGAAAAGTAATGAGATATAATTCAATATCTCTTGGCTTAAAGCCATGTCTGAAACACCAGTTCCTGTACAATCACCAAAGTTAAGCAACATCGAGCTTGATCAGTACCTAGATGGGTGATCATTTGGGAATATCAGGATTTGTAAGCTTGAATGTGCAGGTGGTATAATGGATATTGATTTGGAATTGTTAATCACAGAGCCAAGCTGCAATTCTCATTGAGTTTGTTATATTCACTTATGTGCAAATTACCCTTTGGAAAGGTACGAATCCACCTCTTCCCCACAGCTAAATAGTAAGATTTTGTATCAATAAACCATTAAACTATATAAAAAAAATTCTTACAATCTAAAAATATTTTCTGGCTGGAAAGGGTTAATAAACTGTAAAAAACGAATCAATCCATCAGTAACTCCAGAACTCTAATTCGGAATAATTACTCCGCCAACCACACAAAAAAATACATTGAGTGAAATTAGATATTTTATGACATCAAACACATAAGAAAAAAATAAAAAGTAAAAGCAATGTATTAAACTCAAAAGTATCATAAAAAATACTACTACTGTGTAGTTCTCATTACTAAGTTTCATAAAATCGTATAGAATAATTAAAAACATATATTCTTAAAAACTACTGGTTTTACTTTTAAAAGTTTAAAGGTAATTTATTTTTATACATAAGTACCCATTTCTTGATTATTATACTGCTGATGTTCCGTATTTCTTTTTAATTTTTTCGCGCGCTTTTTAAGAAAGGGATTGAAATAGATATTTCTATTTGTTGACTTCTGACCTCACAGGTTACCATACGTAAATAAACATTTTCATTATGTTTTTTTTTTTAATTAAGTAATCCTTACGTTCACAACAGAATCCAGTTTAATCCTGATTTTATTTTACTCAGTAAAATTTACTGACTTCAAAACACATCTCTAGAAGAAATATTGAATTTTTAAGAGATTTTTAAAGTATTGTTTACATTTTCATCTATAATGGCAGCTCGAGAAGTGACGAGCAATGTTTTTAGAATGCCTTTAAAAAAAAAATATTTATATACGGAGTTTTTTTTTTTATTCGGATTAGCTATTCTTTCAAATAAAACCTAAATTTAAGCTCAAAGAGACTGTTAAATTATTTCTAAAATCCGTTTTTTGTAGCAGTACCTCGAAAACGCAAATTACTGTTTGGCTTTCTTAAAAAAAAATAACTTTTTTTTTATTTTCCATTAAAGAATTTTCTCTAAAATTACTAAATTTGATCAACTTTTCGTAAACAAAATCAGTAGAATTATATGAATTGAGTTACATAACTGAAAAAAAAATGTATTTGTACACACTCATGGATTTAAATTAATTAAACTAAAAAGGTTCAGTTTGAAATTCCCTGAACAAGCACCTGAAGAAGCCTGTAGGGCATAATGGCCGAAACGTTGTGATAAGAAGTTAAACAAAAAAGGATAGTAATCTGCATGTAAATAAGAAAATTATAATTATCACTCAAACTTACATCTTTAAAGAAATAATCGAAACAAAAGGTTACAAACCCAAGATACCCATGATTGAAAAACAAAATATTTTTTTTTTACATTTTTTAAAATAAATAAATTAATTTTTATTTTAATCTAAAAAAAAAAAAAAAGTTTAATACAAATAAAGCTCGGATCTTTTCTATTAATTCACCCCAAAATAAAAAGAATTTATATTTACTAAAAATTCACATAAAATTCCCCCAGAGCAAAGCCCTCCCAGTGCTCTCCGGTTAGGTTGACCTTTGCGATCGCCCCAAATGTGGGTGACTCGGGTGGGCTAAGGTGGTTGCGTCCGCGCTATAAAAAAACCCAAAAATAGTTTGTTTTTTTTTTTTTCTTTTCTTTCTTTTTTTAAATTGTAAAAATTTCCTTGTAAGTACCTCGAATTTAACTTAGGAAATGTGAATAACTCCCAGATTTTTTTTCATTGAGGGTTGATGTTGTTGCGAGACAAGCTAAACAAACTTTGATTTATTTTAATTTAAAAATATACAGTTTCAAAAAAGTACAAAAAACTTAATAATAGTAATCAAAACTTTGACTCAAATCATAATACCTTGGAGTGAATTCAATTAATTTAATTTACGACAAATAACTTTACCACATTATTTGGGGTGAATTAACAGAAAAGATCATAAAGCTCTTACGTAAAAAAAAAATTCATTACCTTGCTGTCTTTAATAAAGGGTGATTTGTACCGACCAATTTACGCATTTGCAGAGCAACATTTGATAATTCATCGCTTAAAAGACAACGAAGGCTCATAAATGAAGTTGGATAGCCGACAACTTTCTCGGCATTTGACATGGCTTTCTTCCAGTTATTGTTTGATTTCAAAGGCCACATCGAATAAGTCCGTTTCTGCCAAGAATGACGGCGACATTTGATCGAAGATATAGAAAATAAATCTCTGTAGAATAATGATGTTATCCGAAGTAAAGGCGATGGTTTGCCGAGATGAATCAACATTTTCTTCTTTTTTTTTTTTTTTAAATCTGATTTCTTGTGTTATCGTTGACCAGAAAAAGCACGTGTTTTTAACAAGGTCAAGGGTAAACCATGTCACGGCTTATAACGAAGAAAATGCAAATGACAACCTGAATTTTTAAATTTCAAAAGTTTTTTGTTTTTTTGTGTGTGTGTGTTTTTTTTTTTTTTGGTCGTTTTGTGTTTGTTTTTTTATAAGTAGTTTTTTTTTTTTTAATTAAGTTTAGATATTTTATGTTTAATTTAAATCGAAACAAAGATATTGAAATAACGTGCATTTATGTGGAAATTCATATATAAAATAATAGATACTATATTCTTACGAACGAATTATTAAAAAATAAATGCTGGTTATATAATGATTCACGTGCAAAACAAGTACCGGTGTTAAAAAAAAGAAAATTCGGTGAATAGCCAGAATAGTTCACAATTATTACATATTCCATTAAAAATACAAGCGATGGATTTACATTTAGAAAAATAATGGAAGTTCAGTAAAGAAGCATTTTTAACAGGTTTTCATTTTAATTTGTAAAGATACATTAGAATAAGTTATATTTCTTTCTTTTGTTAAGTATAAAAGACATTTCTAAAACTTATTATTACTGTGTTATTATTTTTCACCTACAATAACACATAGTACAACGAAGAAGTATTTATGATGTAATTTCCACAAGGTTATGAGTTCATATTACTGGGTATTCTACAAATATATTTTTTTTTAATTATTGTCTTTCGGATATTTTACTTTTTTTATTTTATTAACGACCGAGCAGCTGGCATGTTGATTAAAACATCCAAGGGAAGTAACTACAAATGTCATTTAAGAGTTACCTCGCTTAATATTCATAACTTGTGATAATAAACTTACACCTAATGGTAAGGAAACATTCATTGACTGAGCAGCCAGTACTGCTGTCGACTGAAATTTATAAAATCTTTCCCTTAAAACAATTTTTCAGGAAAATAGGTTTGTCAAGTCCAATAGTTGTTATTAGTGTTATTGTTCTTTCCAGTAGAAGTTTCCTTCCGAACATTTTTTTTATTTTTTAAGTAATATTGAATGTCAATATGTTGATTATGTTGTTATTTTCTCTTCAAGTTACACGTGCTAATCATTTTAGTTGTTGGTAGTTCTCCAGTTAGGCAGTTTCTTCTGTTTGGTATAGTGGCGTGGGGTCTCGGGGTTAAAATGAACAGTTGATTTGCCCACGAGAAGAAGATTAATGATAATTATAACAAGGAAATACACGGTAATTTTAACAAAATAAGAAGATAAAGAACTTATTTACGACTTGAAGTTGTGTCAGTAACTTCAGAAAAATAAATCAGAATTTTTTAATGTTCGTAATTTTAACGAATTGTCATGAAGAGAAAATGTTCACATAACAGATTTAAAAATGATCCGAAATAAAAAAAAAAAAAAAAACAATGTTAAGAGAGTTCGTTGTTCACAGAAGGAATATATGATTGCATACATTCAAAAGTAGACGAAGAGTGAAATAATATATACTTAGCTTTCTTGGATTGTTGAAGGAAAATCCTTTGAGGTGCAATGTGCTTGGTTATAATCCGATAGTACAATTGGTGAATAATTTTACACTAGCGAAAACTTCAACACTGGACGCGTGAATAGAAACCAAACCTTTCACATGACTTCAGACAATCTTCTCTTGTTAATTCATTTTCTTCATTTTACATATAAAAAAGATTTCGCATAGGCTGGCTATTTTCTTTTCTATCTTTTTCTTGATTCAACGACTAATTTTTGTGAAGATTTTCATTGGTTCTAAAACAATTTCACACAGGCTCGCAAATTTATTTCCGTCTTTTACCCAGCTTGTCGGATTCTATGTGAAATCAAGGTTTTCATTGGTCCAAAGAATTTCACATAGGATCGCGAATTTCTTCGTCTTTTTCCTCAGATCACCCGAATTTGAAGTGAGTGGATAAAATGATTTATTATTATTTCGTACTCACTACAAGTTCTTTGCATCTTAGCGTCAGTCCACAATGTTCAAAGAAGGATGATCTTTGCCAAGATCCAAAAGCTTCACTCACTCAAAGCCATTTTTGAAACACTGGTCTAAGAAAGCGGTTATATACAGCTGACAGTTTAGATGCTTCTGAATAGGTTTGTCACTATGCCTGATATTCACATGAAATTCTTCATCTAACGAGGCTATTTAAGAACATGGCTTAGGTTTTCAGGTTATTGTTTTGGCTTTGTAGCAATTTGCAGTGTTGGGTAAAAACTTCCTCGAGCAAAGCCTATTCTATGTTCAATTTGTTATTTTCTCTACTAAATTTGTTATAACTGATCTATAGTGTTTAATATTGACTAAATCCACATTTTGGGATTTTTATGATAGATTCAGAGTAGGGTTTTCTTCAAATTAATTTTTTCATTTTCATTGTTTCTTTCTTCACGGCGTTTTGCCCGTCCACCCACTCTGAAGAAAATTAAATAGAAATAATTAAATTGTAGCGGATCTAGGAAGGCTGGGTGAATATTTAAACCTTCACTTTTTCGCGGGAAAACGGCATAGCGTAATGAAAAATGCCACAAACTTAACGAAAATCAAGTTTTATCGTCAAAATGCTTATGTTATTATTAAGATGAAAGACCAAAGTATTTTTAATTATTTTTTGAAATTTTTTAATATTTTCTAACACGTTCGAAATTTTGGTTAAAGTCTTCTTTTGTTTACGTCATCGTGGTGCTGTTAAAATAACATTGTTTTTTTTTGCGCTTTTTTTCCGTTGAAAATACATTGATTTGGAAATTCTTGTAAAAATCAAGTAATTGTCCGATTTTAATGAAATTTTCAGGACTTATTCACAAATGAATGAAATTATTTTTGAAATATTTCTTTCTAGAAAATTTTGGTAAAAAATATTTTTTTTTTAAATATGTTACACCCCACTTACTTATTGTCCTGAAATTTCGTTCAAAACCTTATTTCCTGACAATTTTTTTTTTGTTTAAAAGTAAGAGTCATTAGAGATGGTAAATCACCTACTTTTTTTTTTCAAATTTGCGCTAACTAAAAATCTGCTCTGAATTGAAAAATAATCAATCCAATAAATCTATGATATTACTTAATTAGAAAAGCTTTTAATTGCTTTTGTAAATAAGTAATATTAAGGTCATTATTGCCTGAAGAAATAAATTTTTTCTGATGAATAATTAAATTTTACAAGAATTTTTTCATTTGTTTTACATTTTAATTATAATAATTTATAATAGTTTAAAAATCGTGCAAAATTCTGTATTAGGCTATTTCCTTGTGATAATTAGTAATTAAGTAGAAACAAAATTTACGAGTTCAAAATTGCAAAGTTTAATAAACTTAGTGGTGCTAATTTTTTTTCAAATAATTTTTTATGTTGTATTTTTTTACTTAATACGTTCCGTATTTCCATGTACAGTAGACTGAAATTGCCATTATTATAAAAAGAGTTTTGTCCCTTTCAGTAAAACTAAAAAAAAAGCGTTCACTCAGATTTCTAATAATTTTCATTTATGGTCATCCGTAGTAGCTGTCATCACTCGTCAATCAACACGTAGATCAAGTATTGGATAAAAATAACAGTACCAATCGTTAATAATTGGTTGTATATTACTTTTTTATGCTAGAAGTAAGTAATATTTCTTTTAAATCAGATTAATTTAACATTAAATTTTCTAATTTTACTAAAATAACGTGTGGGAATCACTTTGACTTACATGTGCCAAACCTCCGTTTTCTTTATTGTTATTGGGTAATAAATACATGATACTTATAGGACAATTTAACCATCGCAAGTAATTCAAAATTTTCTCTAAAATCACGGATTGGTCCATTTCCTGACCAATCGCGTATTTTAGTATCTCTTCTATATTTTGGCGCCAAGCTATCCGGAGCCTATCCATAGTTATATAAAGACACTCGCTGTTTGCTAACAGTCAGTAGCAGTTCAATTCTTGGAAAATAAGGCACGGCGCTATACTGACATTTTAATTCTTAATTATCACTCAATCGAGTAATCATACTAATTCATATTGATATCACTCATGAACATTACATTTTTCTACACTGATTAAACACTGTGGAACTATTCTTTATTTAGCTAAGACTTCAATTGAACTTTGTAGTTAAATTACATTCAATTTTGTACTCAACATTTATTAGCTAAATTTACCCTTTTTATTACGGAAAAAGGTGAACAACTTTCTTTATACTTATTGTGGAAATTTGTATACCATTGTTAATACAATATATTATTAATGTTCGCTGAGCTTGATTATTTTTCTCTCGTGTTTGTTGTGGATTATTCACGTGGGGTGTTGTTCTACAAGAACACAGCCTTCCTTCTTTATTATATTCACGGTGACCCTAGCCAACAATACTTACAGCACCACTACAAACGTGTCAGAAACTTTTTTAAATATTTTTAAAATCGATAAATTTATGTTTGTTTACAAATTTCTTAAAATTAAGAAAATGGCGGGAATTAAGAAAATTTAAAATTCCAAAATTAAATTTGACATTCCGATGTATATAGTTTCTATCTGAAATTGTTTCCTTAATGGAAATAATAAATTTAATGATTAAACTTTCAATTAAAGCTAAAATGAAATCTTCAAGCATGTTTTTTCATTTTTAAAAATTTATTTTAAAGTTAGGTATCGGAAATTTTTCCGAAAAAAGTGGAGGTCCCTATGCAAATAAAATATGCAATATCCACAAACATAAATTATAAAAAAATGGCCAAATTCTAACGATATTCAATCACAACAAAAAAAAATACATGTTTGAAACAACAAATTAAATTTT